TACTGTGATTTTATTTTGGCCAGGACACCAGGAGAAACTCCTTCTCTTTTGAATAGATCCATGGGATCATATAGAGTCACATCAGGAGGATGTCTCAAAGTGCTTCACAGGATATACTGTAAATTGAAGTGATTATGTGTATTTTGTAGGCGAACACAGCAGCTAGTTTTTGTACAGCAATGTCCCACAGACAGTCATGAAACAAATGGCCAAATTTACTTGGCCAGGACACGGAGAAAATCCCTTCTCTTATTGAATATTGCCATGATATCTTTAAAGCCCATCTGAACATGCAGACAGGGTCTCAATTTAAAGACTCATCCGAAGGACGGCACCACCAGCAATGCATCACACCTCTTCAGCACTGCCTTGGATAGTCAAAGTCCCGACATGGGGCTTGAACCTACAACCTTCTGACTCAACCTTGCTACCAACTGAGCTAGAACTGGGACCTTGACAACCATCAAAGAAAGATTTCAATCTACCACTTTAAATTAGATTTAGGTCACACTATGTTAACCTTGTGTTAACCCACTGAGACAAACGTTTTTTTCTTGGGTCTCCCCTCAAGAGCCAGTACTGTTGCTCCTTTATGAATATAATAAATCTTGCATTTGAAATAGTACCTATTACATCAAAAGGTAAAGCGCTGCACAACTAGTTGCTGTAAATTGTGTGGGCACACAAAGCTTGCATTTGCAGTGAATCGGGCAGCCAATTCAAGAACAACAGTGTCCCACAAGCAGCCATAAAGTGAGCCACCTGGAGGGCAGGACACCGAGGAAAATTTGGCTCAGTTGATTAATGCCCAAATTTTGTTTTGATTAGTGCCCAAAACAAAATTTTGTTTTGATTAGGATCTTTAATGTCCACCTGGACAGTTGTCTCATCTGAAGAATGACATCTTTAACAATGCAGCAATCCACGGTACTGCACTGGAGTACTGTGGATTGCTGCATGGCGTATCAGTCTTGCAATGCAAATAAAGAGTTAACTTTGATGGAGGTAATCAATAAAAAAATTCAGATTATAAGGGCAATGTGAGATAGATACTTGGAAATATAAAACATGAATGTTTTAAAATTCTGGATGAAAAACTGAAGTTAATAATAATAATCCTTGCATTTTGATATGGCGCCTTATCATGTCTTCGAGACATTTCAAAGCCTTCACAGAATATACTGTAACATTAATTGACTGTATATTTTGTGGGCAAAATCCTGCAGACATTTGCACACAACAGTGTCCCACAAACAGTCGTGGATTGAGTAACCAATTTTTTTTAAAAAAGGAATTATCTAAAAGCGATCCACCAATTGACAATAACCGTTAACCACTTACTGCTAGGTAAACAGGCATGTGGAGTAAGGAAACTTGACCAACATTTCGTCCTGCCAGGAATCGAACCCCGGTTTCTCGCTTGCAAGGCGAGTGCTTTAACTACTGAGCTACAGGACAAGTATTAGGCGGAGGTTGACAAGAGCCAAGGCTTAGGATACTTCAAAGTACCCAAAATGCAATTGCCTTTCTCATGCATCCAACATCATAATATAGGTTAAACAATAATGCGTACAATTCTCTAGCACTGCTTCCTACGTCAAGACCCAATCCGGCAATTGTTTTGAGTACAAGGAATTCAAACTCAAAAGCAGTTCATGTTTAAAGGGTTCTGAGATCAAGTTGCTCAAAATTAAATTCCACAACTAGAGAGACATTTTTTCACATGCCTTTGACAAACCAAGATGGGATAGTGTCTCCTATCTACCACGCCTTCAAAAAGTGGTTGGTTGGCAGAATTATCAACAAATCGTATTCATAGTTAAGAAAATTCTTGATGTGAAGATACAAAATAAAGCCCCTCAGACATACAATACAAATTACAAAATAATTTACATAAAATCAGCTGTGCATTTCCTCCAAGATTCAAATCAAATTTTTTGGGCTCTTATAATTAATAGGGAACACATTACTATACCCAAAACTGAAACTCCTCAATTCTTCTTGCCATTGAATGGAAATAGAGAAATAGGGAAATGGGGTAAAAATGTATGATCTCTACTTGGAAAATTAGAACCTGGGCTTTATGATGGGCATCGAGTTTCCAGAAGGCTTGCTCATCTTGAGAATGAAAAATCCGGCCTAGGAAAGGTGAGCTCAGCACACAAATCTGCCAGCAACAGGTGGAGGTGGAGTCCTGAAGCTCAGTGGAGTCCTGTAGTACAGGTGGAGTCCTGTAGTTCAGTGGTTAGATCACTTGCTTTGCAAGCGAGAGACCTGGGTTCGATTCCCGGCAGGGTGAAACCTCGGGCAAGCTTCCTTGCTCCACATGCCTGATAATAATCCCTCAAAAAACAATAATAAATTAGTCATTTCAATCCACGACTGTTTGTGGGACACTACTGTGTGCAATTGGCTGCCACATTTCACCCACAAATATACAGTCAATTCACATTTACAGTCTATTCTGTGAAGCGCATTGCGACGTCTAGAAGATGCGAAAAGCACTATATCAAATGCAAGGATTATTAATATTATAGCAACCACTGCACCTTCCCTCCCTCTCTGTGTCTCCCTCCGTCTGTCTCTCTATCTTTCTTTCCAATAAATAAAATTTAGAGAAAGGTGGGAAGTTGCTGTGTGCAAACTGGCTGCCACATTTCAGCCACAAAATACAGTAACTCCATTTTCGAGTACATTCTGTGAAGCGCTTTGAGTCAACCCGACGATGTGATGAGGTGCTATATCAAATGCAAGGATTAATATAATATACAAATTTTTATCCTCCGATGTAAAATGCAGTAAAATGGTGACTATCATGTTGGAGCATGAATGCATAATAGAAATAAAATGCTATTACTTTAAATAAATTTAGTAAGCTTTGAATTTAAGCTAAAAATATAAATTTAGTTTAATCATGAATTTTGATATCTGCAGTTGATTCCAAATATGGCAAGTTGAAAAAAATGAACAATTTTACAATTATATAGAACCTTTCAAGTTGGAAGGATATCTCAATGCACAAGAGCTGACTGGAAGCTCTGTAAAGCACCTCGTGTAAATTAAACACATTAATAAGTATCAAACGAGAGTATCAAACTAGCATAAAGCATGACTGAATGTGCTGATAGTTCTCTCCAAAGCCACTAAAAATAAAAAAACGTAAATTGAATGAAAGCAAATCAGATTACCTGTTCATTTATAAATAAAGTTACAAGCTATACTACCTCCACCTTTCTGATTGCATGAAGAATTTAGGCAAACATTCTTTTCTAAAAAGTAGCTCACCAAGTAATCAGGGCAAGATTGGAAACCTTATTGTCTTAATAAATCAGATACTTTAAATCTGGTTTGATACAGGCCCCACTGAAAATGTAGAAAATAGTTCAATTTACTCCTGCACATTTGCTGTTTGTAAACCTAAAACAGACTAATCAGCTGTCAAACACACTTTAAGAAGATTTGCAATATGCTTACTTGGGAATAGAATATACTTTATCACAAGTCCTTAGAGACAAGAACACAAGTAATTATTTATGGATAATCTGGAGCTCTTAAAATACTAATTTCACAAACAGAGAAAATCACCCATTGATCAATGATTGCATTAGGAGTGACAATTCAGAAATGTTAGATTTGTTTTTTCCCACAATTGGGTGGACATGAGAAAGGAAAACTAAACAACCTGCTGCTGAAACATGGCAATATACACTTATTAAGACTTATCTATCAATGTGAACCCAAATGAAAAATAGAATATTTATTTAAAACCTAAAGTTAGTATAATTTATATGGGAGTGTTGAGTGTTATGTTACTTAACTTTTAGAATATCAAAATGCTCATAATTAACACTGTTGTAATCTTTCTGCTCCTCAACCAGAACCACATATAAAACCTATCCATCATCTGATCATTCCATTGGTAGAGGCAGAATGGACAAATTATCAGTACTCAGTTAAACCTATGGTAATATTCACGAGCTAGATATAATGATCAATTCTGCTGAGTCAGAGATTTATATTTTTGTAGATGCCCCTATATGTTGAGTGAACAATGAGGTGCTTCATCCATTAAATAAATCTAGTGGTAGCACTGAACTCCTTGTTTTTGAAGCAAATCATACATATTGAGAAAATTTAACATCAACAACTTGCATTTATATAGCGCCCTCCATGCCAGACTGAGTGTCAGAGCACTTAACAATGGCGAAGCCCAAGGCCAAGCCAGGGGGAGGGGGAAGGTGACCCTAGGCGCGGTCGAAGAGGAAGATCTTTAGGCACGACCTGAAGATGGGGCAGGAGGGATCAAGGTGAAGGGGTTGAGGTCTCCAAAGGGAGTTCCAAAGTTTTGGGGCGTAGCGGCTGAAGGCACGGTCGCCGATAGTGGAGCAGAGGATTTGGGGGACGCGGAGGAGGCTGGACCAAGTAGAGTGGAGGCAGCGGGTACTGCTATGGGAAGAGAGGAGGTTAGAGAGACAGGGATTGCCAAGGAATGGAGAAATTTAAACACAAGAGTGAGGATCTTGAAGCTGATCCGCTTTGTGACAGGGAGCCAGTGGAATTTGGCAACGACTGGACTAATCGGGGTATGAGGTTTGGTGCAGGTGAGAATGCGAGTGGCAGAGTTTTGAATGAGCTGAATTTTGTGAATAGTGGAGGAGGGGAGACCGGCAAGCAGGGCATTAGAGTAGTCCAGCCCAGAGGTGACAAAGGCATGGAAAAGGGTTTCGGCAGCTTTTGGGGAGAGGTATTGTTGGAGACGGGCAAGTACTTGAATATGAGGAATATTTAAAGAGCGTACAGAACAAGCAGAGATTAAACAACATAGCAAAACATGGCAGCACTGGCATGATGGGCCACATAGCCTGATTCTGGGTTGCAGCTTTCTAAAATTCAAGTTCTATATGGCTAATATATTGTACCAACATTAAACTATTTGTCTCATCTGGAATGTTGAACATACAGAAGTATCCAAAATCCATTGAAAATCATCAATTATTCACCTTTCTTGCAGCATGGATGTCAAAGAATGGCTTGTTTCGGACACTAAACGGTTCCCGCGTTTTGTCAATCTGCCCGGTCTTCATTTTTTCATGCCTTGGTTGTATTATCTCCTTCTCAATACAGCTCAGTCGAACATTAAAATCACAGTCTCCAACTGGCTTTCCCTATAATGAGGGCAAAATATATGAATTAGCACAGCAGTCAACAAGCTTTAGTTATTTTCTCTTCTTCCTTTTTCAGACCGCTATGCACTACAACTGGGGAAAGGAAGTCGGTCCTTGCCAATGCCACTCCTCAGGCAGTACTAGAGAACGGGCGGGATACCCTATAGAGAGCCCGGAAATATTAAGCATTTGGTTTCCACTTTACACTTAATTTCCTCCCTCTCATTATGAAGCAGCTGAAATCAAGAAGTCACAGATGCAAACCTGAGGATTACTATTCATTTGACATCATGCTTGTGACTGAAGTCAACAATAAGATTCTATTTGCGCACTGCACTAGTGCATGGACGTATTCAAATAAATTAAACACCAGAATTGCATAAAGTTAATTGCTCTTCATCTTGCATAATACCAGTTATTCAATCTTCTGATAAATCTCCAAATTGTACTGAACAAAATATGGTTTGAAAGAGGGGAGGGAGGGGGCAAGGTGTAAGGATTGAAGGAGAGTTTCAGAGTTTTGGTGCATAGGGGCTGAAGGCACAGCCCCCGAAGGGGGGAGGGGACAAGCGACAAACAGGAGGCCGGAGCCAACCGAGCGGATGGTGGAGTAAGTAGATCGGATACATAGGGAGGTGGAGAGCAAGAAGGGATTTGAAAAAGAGTGATAGTATCTTGAAATCGATCCGTTCGGTAATTGGGAGCCAGTGGAGCCTGGCAAGGACTGGTGTGATGGGGGTACAGAGTTTTGTGAGGATGAATATCCGGGCAGCGGAGTTTTGGATTAATTGAATTCTGTGTATCGTGGAGACCAGCGAAGAGGGCATTAGAATAGTCCAGCTGGGAAGTAACAAAGGCGTGGATGAGGGTTTTGGCTGCAATGGTTGTGAGTTATGGATGGAGGCGGGCAATGTGGCGGATGTGGAAAAAGCAGTCCTGGTCAGGGAACTAATGTGGAGAAGAAAGGAAAGCTGGGGATCAAACCTGACTTCTATGTTTTGCACGGGTTCAGTCAGTCTGAGGGAGAGCCCAGGGAGTTTGAGGAGTTCAGACCCACAGGAGAGAAGACTTTGACAGAAACCAAAGAATATGGCTTCTGTCTGGCTGACATTCAGCTGCCAGATTTTTCCACTCATCCAGGCCTTGATGTCCGTCAAACATCAGTGGACTGGGAGTCACAGCTGGAGGAGGAGAAGTAGATTTGGGTGTCATCCACATTCATGTGGAAGTTGACCCCTTGTCTGCAGACATCATCGAGAGGGAGCATGTGGATAAGGAAAAGAATAAGGTAAGAATTGAGCTTTGGGGTATCCCGCAGGTGGGAAAGGGAGGAAAAAACATTTGCCCAGATGTATTGTTGCCAGTTTGTTAAGTAGGATTCGATCCATGTAAGTGTGGTCCCACTAAGTTGAATAAGGGAGAGGCGGTGGGGGGTAGCATGATCGATTGTGCTGAACGCGGCAGAAAGGTCCAGGAGGACAAGGAGGCAGAGGGAGCCCTAGTCAGAGAGAGAGGACATAATTTGTTACTTTGATGCACGCTGTCTCTGTGCTGTGCGCAGGGCAAAACCCGACTGGGAGAGTTTGAGTTGGGAGTGGAGGGAGAGGTGTGAGCAAAGTTGATTTGCAAATGGAGGTCAAACACGGTTACCTTACTGACTGTCAACTGACAATCCCAAATACATTCCCACCTTTCTTGATGGGCTTGATTATACCATGTCCAAACATATACAAAGTAATCTGAACAAAGTTACAGCCTTATTGAAAACAAGCAACAAACAGGGCATAGAAACTTGTTCTGGAAAATATCCAGATCCCTAAAATCTAGGGTACAAATTTACACAACCATAAACAGGAACATTCCCAATAGATGGCACACTTTTTCATAGTTTGAGTTTTCATATCTTCAGGATTTATAGAATAGACTTTTTGAACGCACATATCCTTTGCCTTTGAAAACACAAGTTCACCAGTGAAAAGGCAACTGACAAGGCAAACAACCTCAAAATGTGCAGGAGAAGGGGTGGGGGAAGCAACCAGGCAAATTAAAACCTATCCTGACAAAAGTCAGTGATCAGATGTCAGTACCTCAGAAATGAATTATCAAATAGCATAAGGCAATAGTTCAGATATTTACCTATACTAGTAATTAGTGATTGCGTTTTTCTTATGTTCTTTTTAGTTATTACTGGATGCTACCACGTATGAGTCAGTACTCAAGACTTTTATTTATAGAGAATGTTGCAGAATAGAAACAGGCAATTTGGCGCATCAACAACAAAATGACATTTGTATAGCGCCTTTCACATCGGGAGGACGTCCCAAGGCACTGGACAATCAGCATTTTGGACCTGAGCTGGGTGCGGGACACAGGGGGAAGGAGGGTGACAGAAGGCACGGTCGAAGAGGAGAGTTTTGAGACAAGTCTTGAAGAAGGCAAGGAAGGGGGTAGGATGGAGTTCCAGAGGGTAGAGACAGAGTGGCTGAAGGCTCACCCGCTGATGGTGGGGGTGAGGCGGCCGTCGTGAAGCAGGCCGGAACCCGCTGAGCGGATGGAACGGGCAGGTTGTTAGGAGGTCGCAGAGGTAAGGAGGAGCAAGGCGTTGGAGGACCTTGAAACTGAGGACCAGGATCTTGAACTGTATCTTCTGTGTGATGGGAAGTCAGTGGAGTCGGGCGAAGATGGGGGTGATAGGGTCGCGGAGCCTGGTGCAGGAGAGGACATGGACTGCAGAGTTCTGGATGATCTGCAGCCTACGAAGGGAGGAGTTGGGGAGGCCGACAAGCAGGGCGTTTGCGTAGTCGAGCCTGGATGTTATGAGTGGGTGTTAGAGGGTCTCGGAGGCTGCGGTATGAGACAGCGACGGAGCTGGGCGATGTTGCAGAGGTGGGAAAAGGCGGAGGGGGTCATGGTATAGATGTGGGGTATGAAGAACAGTTGAGGGTCAAACAGGACCCAAGGTTCCGTATTGGCTCCATTAGTTGTAGTGTGCATCCATGGATGGTGATGCTGTCAGCGCTCGTGATATGGAGGCACCGACGGGAGCCAAGCAGAAGGGCCCTGGTCTTGTTGACATTCAACTGAAGGAAGTTAGCTCTCATCCAGGACTTGATATCCGACAGACAGTCTGTGAGAACAGCAGTGGTCCTGGCGTTGATGGTAGAGGCAGAGGGCAGAGTTGGGTGTCATCCGCATACATGCTTTACGCGTTTAAACTTTACGAGAGTTTGCTCCTCCTAAATTCTCCTATACCTGTCTATTCTCTTCTCCCTTGTGTATGCATCAACTTAACTACATTGATACGTTTTCCTTCAAACACAGCTTCCGACAGTGAGTTACATGTACGAAAAGGGAATTTCTCCCAGTGTCCCGGTCAATGATCAACAGATAAAATTCCTGGTTTCTTCGGTCATCTTTTCCTCTACTGCCTTCTCTTCCCACCCTCAGCTCAGTTACCCATTCAGCTTTGTGATGTTCTCCTGGCATGAAAGACACTATATAAATGTACATTGTATTATATTTAAAATTGGTCATTCATTTCATGGTCATTTATTGTAGTGCGCAGATTGGCTGCCACATTCTTCTACAAAATAAAGTCACTATACTTCTCAGTAAATCCTGTGAAGCGCTTTGAGACTCCTCCAGACAAGAAAGGCACTATACCAAATTAAAGGATTATTATTCTTACAACTCACTTTGAAAGGAAATTCTCTTTTAGATGAGCTACTGACTACCTTATATTTATCCCCCCTCAATTTGAACTCGACAAAAAGTGGAACCTGCCTATTAGCGTCCACCTTACTTTCAAACCATTTTAAAATTCCCAATTCCGCTGAAATAAAGAAGAAACCCTAAACTATAAATTAAATATAATTCTCAACCTATAGGCAATATTTTTTTACAATTACTCACAGCAGAAAATGTCAACTTAGTTAATTAACTACAGCCTAAAACTGGTGAGATACCAAGATTGCAATTATAAGATACTCTTCCCAAAAACATTCTCCATTGTGAAATAAAAAGACAAGGCCTGAACGATTTTGAAATTGGCACGATTCAGTTAACTGGAAATTATGTTGTCATTATTTAAAGTTCAACTTCAGCCTCCAGAGCACTGATATTGACATACAATTCATATCAACCATATCATGGAAACTCATTCCATTACCAGGTTAGCCACCACTGAAGGCTCAGTTCATTTTCTTTTTTATTAAACCCACATAAAAATGCAATAACTTTTCTTATCTAACTCCAAAATCCACCTAAATTATAATGTTGAATGCTGCATGTGCTCATTTCCATTTCCAAGTCAGCCAGGTTTCCAAATCAGCCAGGTTTCTGACCCATTTGACTATCGTTCATTTGACTATCATTTCTGCCAGGAGTATAATAATAATCCTTGCATTTGACATAGCACTTTTCATGTCTTCTCAACGTCTCAAAGCGCTTCACAGAATATGCTGTGAAGTGAATTGACCGTATATTTGTGGGCGAAACGCGGCAGCTAATTGCGCACAGCAGTGTCCCACAAACAGTCGTGGATTGAAAATGATCAATTTTTTTTTTTTTGGTTTGGAGGGAGTATTATTAGGCATGTAGAGTAAGGAAACTTGCCCAAGGTTTCGCCCTGCCTGGAATTGAACCCAGATGTCTCGCTTGCAAGGCGAGTGCTCTAACCACTGAGCTACAGGACAACAACAACAACAAGATTCCATTTATAGAGCGCCTTTCACGTCGGGAGGACGTCCCAAGGCGCTGTACAGTTGGGTCAGGACCCGAGCAGGGGGGAAATGGTCAGGGTGAGGGGAGGGAAGGGAGGGAGCGAGGAGGGGTAGAGAGTCGAGAGGGGAGCTGAAGGCACGGTCAAAGAGAAAGGTCTTGAGACCGGCCTTGAAGGAGGAAAGGGAGGAAGCAAGGCGAAGGCACTGGGGGATAGAGTTCCAGAGCCTAGGGGCTGAGAGGCTGAAGGCCCGGCCACCGATGGACTCCACAAGTATATA